GGCCCGACTTAACTATAGGTGCGACGAGGACGAGGACGAGGACGACTCCAAGGCTCAGGGCTAGAGTAGAGGCCTCGAAGATGGGTCCGAATAGATGGGGTCGAAGGGTCGTAGATGGGGTCGGAGGATCGCGCCGCATCGCCAATGCATCGCCGATGCATCGGCGATGCATTGGCGACGTCGGCGATGCATCGGTGACGTCGGCGTGGGGAAGCACGGGCTCCACACCGAGCCGCATCGTCGATGCCTCGGCGATGCTACTCGGACCCCGTCTAGGAGGCCTAGATAGAGGCTGGCCCAGTCATGCTTGCGTCGCAGAAAAATCAGGGCGGAGGTTTTTCTGAGTTTTCGGCCTTGGGGGGCCCTCGCCGGGCCCCAAGACTGTCAACAAAACGACTCAGGACGAAAAACCGGTCCTGGGGAAAAGGTCGGGAACTCTTGGGACTGCGTATTGAACAAAAAACATGACGTCGCATGTCTGGGAAGGGCTGAGGGATAGAGAAAGATATATATATATATAGAGCAAAGGCTTGAGGCCAAGGGCTAAGGGCTAAGGGCAAAAGGACTAAAGGCTACGGGCTGAAGGCTATGGGGCTAAAGGCAGCCGCTGCGCGCAAGGCCGCAGGCGCCCAGGGAGACACCAGGCGCGCCCTCCTCGGCGTGCCCTCCCCGCGCGCCCTCTGGCCCGGGCGGCGCTCCGCGGCTGCACGCAAGGTTCAGTGCTGCAGCCCAGTCGGTGCGTAGCAAGATTTGTCGCCGCGCCGTTTGCTTTCGACGAGCTCAAGTGCACGACGCCGACACCACGGCAGACCCGCGGCAAACCCTGCGCCCCGCGCCCCGGCAGACGAAGCCAGCACCGCGGCAAACCCCACGGCGAACCCGCCGTGCCCGAGGTGGAGTTTGCCCTGGTGGCCGCGTCGCCCTCCCCAAGACGCAGGGCCGCGCGTCGGAGCAAACGGCGCGGCGACAGTTGGAGAGGGAGCACCCACACCCAAACCTCCTCCAACGTCTCGAGAAACTCGAGCAGGAAGCTTTTCTCAACCCTCGTCCCCTGGGGGCCCTCACCGGCCCTCGGGGCGGTCAAACAACGACTCGGGAGGAACTCGAGCAATTCGAGGCGGAGGATTTTCTCAATGTTCGTCCCCTGGGGGCCCTTACCAGCCCTCGGGGCCGTCAAAAAACGGCGCAGGTTTTTCTCAATGCTCGTCCCCTGGGGGCCCTCGCCGGGCCCCGGGGCCGCTAGGAGACGGCTTGGGAGGACGAGCTGGACCTGGGAAAAAGGTCCAGACCTCGGGGGACCCCGCGTTGAGAAACTGAAGACGTCGAACCCTGAGATCCGACGTCGCAAAAAAATGCAGCATCGCAAAAGATCACGACCAGAGCCCCGGACCCCATCTTCCTGCGTCTTGGCGGCGCGCACAAGGGGGTAGGGGGAGGGGGGAAGGCTTCTTAGAAGGAGGCTGCTTTCTAGAAGGCGCTGGCCTTACATCTACAAAGAAGGCCCGCGCCTTCTAAGAAGCAGGGGTGCTTCTAAGAAGCCTTCCCCCCCTTCCCCCTACCCCCTTCTGCGCGTGGCCAGGCGTCATTTCTCGAGCCGGGTCGATCTGCGAGGGTCCCCGGGCCCCGAGACGGGGCGAAAACGCGTGGTGCGAACAAAGTTGCTACGCGAGGATCTTAGGGAATGTCTGGGCACGAGCAGCGGGAGGCGTCTCGGGAAATTCGGGGCGGGAGCTTTTCTCAATGTTCGTCCTCAGGGAGCCTCGCCGGGCCCCCGGGCCGTGGAGCGCCAGTTCGGGATGAAGGGCTGGCCCCTGGGGAGAGGGTGGCGGCCCTGGTGGGGCCCCGTGTTGAGGAGCTCGAGACGTCGGCCGTCTGGGCACGAGCAGCGAACTCTCTCCATGGGCCTCGCGTCTGGAATTGCGCGAGGCCTCGCAAAAAGGATGATGCCTGGCCCATGCATCCTGGCGGTTTGCGGCCATGTTGAGGGGAAGCCGCCGCGGAGCTAGAGCTCGGCGGAGGGAAGGGGAAGAGGGACGACAGGAGGGTGACGACGACGAGGAGGCAGTCAAGGCACACGCAAGACCCAGACCCCCTCCGGATCATGCAAGAAGGAACGACGGACGTCGTTTTGCTATCTTCGGCCTCCGGGGGCCCTCGCCTGGCCCCAAGACCTTCAAAAGAACAACTCAGGACGAAAAGCCGGTCTCGGGGAATGGGTCGAGACCTTCAGGGGTCCACGACGCGAAACAAGCACGACGCTGGGGGTCTGGGGAGTGACCCCCGGGCAAGAGCGACCTTTGATGCGCGGCTTTAGGCTGTCGCAGGGGCGTGGGTATGTCCGAGCGCGCAGGCCAATGCTGTGGGGGACGCCCGGTGGGCCCGCACCTCAGGTCGCTCCGAAAGTCCCCCTCCCCCTCCTCCTCCTCCTCCTCCTCCTCCTCCTTCTTCCCCTCCTCCTCCTCCTCCTCCTCCTCCTCCTCCTCCTCCTTCCCCTCCTCCTCCTCCTCCTCCTCCTCCTCCTCCTCCTCCTCCTCCTCCTTCCCCTCCTTCTCCTTCCCCTCCTCCATTCCTTCTCCTTATGAATAACTCCTTCCTGTCGCACCCCGAGGCCAATCTTTAGGGCGGGCCAGGCGTTTCGCCTGAGACTTCCTCGCCATTTATGACTCTGAAGCTTAAAAAGTGACAGCAGTTTCACAGATGGAGGGCGGGTGGTTTTCAAAATGTGGCTCTCGCCTCAGCGCCGCGCACATTCGTGTTAAACAATTGCAAGAACTTGACGGATTGAGGGCGGGTCGTGCCGTTTTCAAAATGTGGCTCTCGCCTTAGTGCCGCGCACATTCAGTTTTAAACATTTGCACGGGTTTCACGGGTTGAGGGCGGTTCCTTTTCAAAATGTGGCTCTCGCCTTAGCGCCGCGCTTATTCGTTTTCAACATTCGCCAGAGTTTCACGGATTGAGGGCGGTTCCTTTTCAAAATGTGGCTCTCGCCTTAGCGCCGCGCACATTCGTTTTTAAAATTTGCCAGGGTTTCACTGACTCCCATGATCAGCGTACCAGAGATCGTGTTTTGGAAGGTTTCAGGATTATGCGGGCGCAACAATTATGTTAATTCGCTGTATGAAGTCCAAAAGATGGCGTTCTAGCACGATTCTGGATCGTCAAGACGCAGTACGTAGTCAGGTTGATACGTGGCGTCGGAATCCCGAGAACAATGTTTTGGCACGCTTCAGGATATTCAAACTGTCGTTCTCCAACGAGGCAGCTCCCTCAATGGAAATGAACTGTTGTAGGGGCCTATGAAGAGGAAGCTTGGAAGGCGGGTTAATTCCAACATCGTTGATGACTGTTGGGTTTCCACTGGTCCTCCTCCTCCCCCTGTTCCGTTTCCTCCTCCTGCTCCTGCTCCTGCTCCTCCTGCTCCTCCTGCTCCTCCTGCTCCTCCTCCTGCTCCCCCTCCTCCTCCTGCTCCTGCTCCTCCTGCTCCTGCTCCTCCTCCTCCTCCTCCTCCTCCTCCTCCTCCTCCTCCTCCTCCTCCTCCCCCTCGGCCGAGCCTCCAGCACCACGTCGAGGGTGATGCCCCGGGCGGTGGCGCTCGCCACCGCCGCCGCCTCCGGCACCGCGGGCACCTTCACGAAGCACTGGACACTCGGGAACTCGGCCGACACCCCGCGCGCCTCCAGCCGGAGCGCCTCCCTGCTGCAGCGGGCGGCCTCTTCGCCGCCCACCTCGCCGGGGCGGCCACCACGGGCGGCCCCACCGAGGTGGACCTTCACGTTCTCCCTGCTGGGGGGCGACAGCCGAGCCCTCCCCCCCTCCGACCGTTGTCGTCGTCGTCCTTGTCGTCGCCGTCGCCGTCGCCGTCGTCGTCGTCGTCGTCGTCGTCGTCGTCGTCGTCGTCGTCGTCGTCGTCGCCGTCGCCGTCGTCGTCGTCTGCGGCGGCGGCGGCGGCGTGGGCGTGGGCGTGGGCGTGGGCGTGGGCGTGGGCGTGGGCGTGGGCGTGGGCGTGGGCGTGGGCGTGGGCGTGGGCGTGGGCGTGGGCGTCGTCGTCGTCGTCGTCGTCGTCGTCGTCGTCGTCGTCGTCGTCGTCGTCGTCGTCGTCGGCGGCGGCGGCGGCGGCGGCGGCGGCGGCGGCGGCGGCGGCGTGGTGTGGCGTCAGCGTCGGCGTCGGCGTCCATCGAGTTGCCTGAATCGTTGATTGGCACGGGAAGGGTTCGGATTTGCTTCGCCACCGACCTGCGGACGCCGACCCCCGAGAGCTCCAGGTTCAGCACCCGATGGCAGATGAAGAAGCAACGGCAAACATATACGCTTTCGGAGCTCCGCGCGGATCTCTTGGGTCGGCGCTGGACTCCCTGGCGGCGCCCCCGGCGCCGCCCATGGCGCGCTCCGCGCGCGAGGGATGGGATTCCAGCGCCGATCTAAAGACATCCGCGCGGAGCTCCGGAAGTTTAAGTAGATGCAGTTTTTTCCCCCTCGCGATAAGACGAGCCCCTGTGCTCGAACCTCACTTCCGGGATGCTCAGGGAGGGCAGGGCCTCGAGCAGGAGCTCCAGGCACAGGTCGAGCGCCTGCTGCAGTAGCGCCTCCCGCGCGCGCGGGTCCTCCGCGGCCGCGTCGCACTGCTGCAGCAGCTTCTCGGGGTCCAGGCGCCCCAGGGACCCCAGCAGCAAGCCCTCCAGGTCGACCCGCTCCGCGCGCGCGGCCGCTGCGCGCCCGAGCCGCCCTTCCCGCCACGCTGCCGCCCGCTGCACCAGCCGCTCCCCCGCGCCGAGGGCCTCCCGGACCCGACGCGCCTGCTCGGGGTCGAAGAGGCTCTCGCCCAGCGCCCTCCACCAGGAGGCGCTGTCGCCCCGGCTCCGGCAGAGGGGCAGCGTGGCGTCCAGCACCTGGCGAACCCAACAGGTGCCGACCCGGGGTGCGCTCTGGCCAGAATCTCGGAGCGAATCCAGCGGTGGCGACGAGGGCCTCCGAGGAGGCCCAGACGGGCGAGGACGAGGTGCACCAGCTGCAGGTCTGGTGGCAGGCCCACTCCGAGGTCGTCGAGCACGGCAGCGATGCCCTGCAACGGCAGGCCTGCTCCAGGGCCGGCGGCGGCTCGGAAGCGCTCCAGCAACTCCGGCCCGGCGCGCGTCAGGTCGGCGCCGGTGTCCTCCAGCGAGTTCGCCACGCACCGCTCGAGGCGCTCGGCCAGCCCGAGCTTGCTGCTTTGGGCGGCGGCGCCGCCGAGACCGAGCAGCAGCTCGCCCGCCGTGGTGCCGTCGGCGGCGAGGCGCCAGGCGTGCCGCAGCCGGCCAGACAGCAGCGCGAGCAGCGTGGGGCCCGCCAGCATGGCCGGGTCGGCGCCCTGCAGCCGCGCGTCGGCCCGCTGGTGGGCCCCGATCAACAACTTCCGGAGCTTCTCCGAGGCCACCGGGTCGCCCTGCAGCCTGGACAGGGCGCCCTGGGCCCGCGCCTCGAGCTGGTCGCGCCACGGCTTGCCGCTGTGGCACGCGTGGCTGATGCAGTCGGTGAGGCTCTGCGTGCCGCAGGCCACCGCGCCGCCCACGTCGCTCTGGCGCCAGAGGGACCACAGCGTGTCGCACTCCGACAGGGTCCCCCCGAGGGCGGCGTCCTGCTGGGGAAACCACAAGGTACGGTATACTGATACCGCTGCTCCCCGGACCGCTCGCGGAGTGCGTTCTGACTAGGATTTCGAAGCGAATCCAGCGGTGGCGACGAGGGCCTCCCAGCTGGCCCAGAAAGGGGGAAACGAGGGAAGGGCAGCGGTATGGGTGCCTTATCCTCCCTTGACCTGCTGCGCGCACTGGCGCAGCACCCTCAGGCCGGAGGCGTCGCCGCGCCACAGGCGGCCCGCCGCGCTGCGCAGGTAGCCCGCGGGGGCCTCCAGCCAGGGCGCCTCGCTCTCGCCCGGCGGGCCCGCCGGCGGCGGCCGCGGGGCACACGGGGCGGCGGGCTGCGGGGGCGCCGCGGCGGCGGCGGCCGCCCCCGCCGGCAGCGGCCGCGGCGGCTCTGCGGCGCTCGGGCCGCTCAGGAAGTTCAGGCCCTCCACCTGGAGATCCAACGCATGAAAAAAACATCAGGACGGAGGTTTTTCCCAGTTTTCGGCCCCTAGGGTTGGGGGACTTCGGGCGAAACAAATAATTAGCCTGACGAAGGACCCAACCATACGCAGGTGTGAGTACCGCAATAGTGATTCACTTTTTCGGTGGCGATCCCTATGAGGCAACGAACCGTGCTAGGGGTGTGCCGACATGAGTGGCGTCGTACACAACGCGAACAAAAACGATTGATCTGAGTACGTAGGGAGACTGAGCGCGGGTGAATCTGCGCGCGTGCGTCTGATTGTGAATGAATCTGCGTGCGAGCGAATCTACGTGCATGAATGCGAATATTGCAAAGCGTGGTGCAATTGTATATGAGTGTCAATAGTTTGACAATGACTGCCTCTGAGTACTCGTGACGCTGGGCGTGGCCGCCGCAAGGAGCTTCCCCGGCGGGACTCCCCGACGGCATCGCCCGCGCGCCGCGACGCCAATGTCGGCGCGCCCCCCCGCGAGGATCGCGCCCGCTTCCTCCCCTTCCTTTACTCCCTCTTTGCCCGCGCACTCAAAAGTCCAAGGCTGCGGGCGCAGCGCAGCGCGGAGTCCCCGCGACGCGCGCAGGTCGCCCCGGACGGGTCCCAGCGACGCGCGCGGGTCGTCCACTGCGCGGAGCAAAGAAAGCTAGCTGGCTGGCTGATAGCGGGCAAAGCTCTTGCCGCTGGGCAGAGCGACGACGGGCGAGCGAGGCGCTGGGCAGAACGCAGCACGGAGCCCCCGCGACGCGCGCAGGTCGCCCCGGAGGGGTCCCAGCGACGCGCGCGGGTCGCGCTGCGCGGAACAAAGAAAGCTAACTGGCTGGCTGGGACCTGCGGTGGGGCTCCATAAGGGGCCACGTAGCGCTGTACTGGGCAAGGGAGACGCATGCGGACTGCGCCACGGGGACCTCCGGTGGAGTTCCCTATGGGGCCACGAAACGTGTAAAGGGTGTGCCGAAATGAATGGCGGGGACGCATGCGGGCACACCCACTGGGACCTTCGGTGGGGCTCCCTATGGGGCCACGAAACGTGTGAGGGATGTGCCGAAATGGGTGTGCGGGACGCATGCGGGCACACCCACTGGGACCTTCGGTTGGGCTCCCTATGGGGCCGCGGAACGTGCGTGTGAGGGATGTGCCGAAATGGGTGTGCGGGACGCATGCGGGCACACCCACTGGGACCTTCGGTGGAGCTCCCTATGGGGCCACGAAACGTGTGAGGGGTGTGCCGAAATGGGTGTGCGGGACGCATGCGGGCACACCCACTGGGACCTTCGGTGGAGCTCCCTATGGGGCCACGAAACGTGTGAGGGTGTGCCGAAATGAATGGCGGGACGCATGCGGGCACACCCACTGAGACCTTCGGTGGAGCTCCCTATGGGGCCACGAAGCGTGGAGGGGTGTGCCGAAATGGGTGTGCGGGA